AAGGTTTCCACCCTTTATGAGTACGCCCAACGTACACAAGTATACGCTCAGCGTACTAGGGCGCGCCCTAGTATGCTCAGCGTACCCTTATGTACGCACAACGTACGACTGCTGGTCCCAAAATTACAATTTAGCCCTTAGGCTCATCATGGCTTTACCCTTCCATCCTCAGGGACTACAAATGACAAAACTTGGGATGTTACATAGAATCTTAATATCATAATATCTTAAGATTCAAATCGAGAGTTTAACAACCAATTATATAGCTTATATAGGGAAAAGTTCAATGGAGAACTATTATTAATCAAGCAACCAAGGAACTAATCCAAAACGTTGGAATTTAAAACAATCAACTGTAAAATGAAGGGTTGTAAACTTTTACAATAGACGCACATGCACCAGATTATAACAAAACTCATTTTTTTTTAGTTTAATTTTTTTAGGACATGTTGTTTTATCAAAAAAAAAAAAAATCGAAAACATCATTGTTCATGATTTTTGCTCCTCTTTCCATAAAAATCTATATTGATATATAAAAAACGATATTTTTTCAAAAAAAAAAAAAAAAAAAACTTTCTTTGTTTTTTGAAAAGATAAGGTCTATTTTTTTTAGCGAAATAAATTAATAAATATATCAAAATTTATATTTTTTTAGTACTATTTAAGGATAGTTTCATATTGATGTTTAAAAATAATCAAAATTTCAATTCAAATTCACATTGTGAATCTGCAATGTGTAAAACTACATAGAAATATATTTTAATTCATATATAATTTTCATTTAATTTGTGAATGATCAAAGAGTTGAAATAGTAAGTCAGATTCATACTATGAATGTTAAAATCGAACTATTTACAGTTTAGTTCACAATGTGAACCTGAAGTGATCGAGTTTTTTTTAATCGATGTTGATATTTATTAATAGAGGACATCAAATAGAAATTTTTGGAATAATTAGATTTTTTTTGGATAAAAAAAAACTTAAATATTAAAAAAAACAACAAAACAAAGTGAGTGTTTTTTGAAAAAAAAAAATTGTTTTTTATATATCAACATGAATATGTATGGAAAGGGGACGAAAAATTATGAACAATGATATATTCAGTTTTTTTCGATAAAAAACATGGATTAAAAAAAATAAACAAAAAAAGGATATGAATTTTTGTGAAAATATAAGTTTTATGGTATAATCTGGTGTATGTACGTCAGATGCACAAGTTTATATTTATTCTCTTGGCCATTAATCATTATAATTTCGACGTTCACGATTTGTTTATTGATTCTTTGTTAATAAGGGTTATTTATTGAATCTCACATTAAGTTATTATTGGTTTAAGTTATTTTATTATTATTTGAAAAACCTAAACCGAAACAAATACCAATAATTTGTGCATGAAAAACCTGTATTTGGAAACCTAAACGGTGACAAAAACTTAATCTTGTTTACGAAACCTAAACGGTGACAAATATGAAATACCAACAGGCAAGTCAAAGGAAAGTCAAAGAAAAAAAAACGTGTGCATAAAGTAAATAACTTGAGCTTGAAGAACACGAAAAAATCAAATCTATAAAATGATTATGAAAAGCTAGTTTTAAAATTTTACAATTTTTATATTTATAATTATTTAAAAGTTTAATTTTACGAATTTGGTTTTAATTAAAATTATTTAAAAAGATGGGTTAACATTTTTACAAACTCTGTTCGAACATAAAATCAAAATTTTCAACTAATTTAATTAACTATAAAATATACTAGAATCGTAGAATCATATCATAACATGATTTTGTACTTGCTTTTTTTTTTTCAAAATATTTAAGATATACATTTTCAACTAATTTAATTAACTATAAAACAACAATACTAATCAAATAAAGATAAACCTCTTCTCCATTGTCACCCACACCTATAAATACGAGAAATCTCCACCCGCACTCATACCTACAAAACTCACATGGCGGAGCACCACCGTCCCCATAAAAAGATCACGACGGAGCTTCCAGCTGACATCCTATTCTGCAACATACTACCAAGGCTGCCGGCTGAATCTCTACACCGTTTCAGGTACGTTTCCAAGAAATGGCACTCAATCATAATTTCGCCTGAATTTATCAATTCCCACCTCCACCACATCACCAAAAACCACCGTCAAAACCACCACAAACTTCTCCTCTTATCCACCACAACGCCATGCAACGTCCACACCATCGATTGTGAATCACCTGAAAACGGTTTAAGTCCCCGTCGCCCTTTTCCAATCAAAGTTAACCCTGAAAACATGACAATTATAACATCTTGTAATGGACTTGTTTGTGTAGGCATAACCAAACGTAACTACGATGATAAATACTCTGATCTAATACTATGGAATCCTTTAACTGGTGACTACAAGAAGTTGTCTCAATCCCATTCTCATAAAGAATGCTACTACGGGTTGTATTACAGTGATTCATACGATGACTACAGAATTTTATGCGTAACCCTCCATCACCATGCTTATATATACTCATTGAAATCAGATTCATGGAGAAAGCTCGATTCTTACACTAGTGAATTGAGACGTATAACTTGTCTGAATTCAGAAAGTTGGGGGGGGAGTATTGTACAGAATGAAAAAATGTATTTTTTAAAACAAGGCAAGAGAAGAACTTTAGGTCATCTTTCTAGTTCTATTATAAGGTTTGACACGAGGGCAGAGAAGTTCAGAAAGATAGTAACTCCATGTTTTGGAGTTGGAAAAAGAGATTGTTTGAATTTCACGCTTCTACATAATGATAGATATGTTTACTTGTGTGTGATATATAAAGAAAATTCTGTAGAGTTGAGTGCTAAGTTTTGGAGAATGGATGGAGAAGGAGATGAAGATTGGAGAGAGATGATAAGTTATCGGATTTTACCGAGTTTATATTGCTTTCAGAAGCCAGTGCATTTGATGAGGAATGGCAGTTGGGTGACATATTGTTTGCATTCTGGATGTCATGTGTACAAACTGGATCCGGGGAGACGTATTAATGAGATGTCATACTCAAATTATGATGATGAGTTTGATATTCCTTCAAGAGGGAAATATATTGAGACTTTGGTGTCACCCAATCGTAGATGAGACTTTTTTTTTTTTTTTTTTTTTTTAACTTTGTCATTGTTCTTGGTTTTTGCTGATTCATTGCTATGATCTAAGTTATTCCCAAGATTATGCTAATATATATGTTCATCTATGTGAGTTTTAAAAACTGAATTTTAGATCCATTAGATACTTTTTATTTTGTTCACTATAATATGGGCTTAGATGTAACATGTAGCAATATGTGACTGTTATACCATCCTACTTCCATTTTCTTTCTAATTATGTTAGGGAATTATACTTACAATATTTTTTCTTAATAAGTCATTGCACTTTGTAAAATGTACCTAATTATAGCATTGTATTTTCAAGTTTTTTTTCCTAATTAAGAAATTGTACCCTGAAAATACTTACACCATTATCGATTGATGTGTAATTGGAAAATATTGCTATTGGTGGATAGACTTTTCAGAATACAAAGTTGTAATAAGAATAAACGAAGAATGCTATAATAAACAAACTAATAAAATTGTGTTGGTATTTCTTCGGATTTTTTTGGAGACAACATATCATCAAGATAGTTTAGTCGCTACTTCTTTTTAAGAACTATAGAAACCTTATAAATTATGTACCAACGACTTGTCGTCCTCATAGTCACTGTCAATGTTTTAAAAATCAGATTTTTAGTTGAACCGGTATGGTAATTGATTTCTGTTTCAATCGGTTCGACCGTTGATTCAACTGGGTTCTATAAATTTTATCTTTTTTTTCTATATATATATATATATATATATATATATATATATATATATATATATATATATATATATATATATATATATATATATATATATATCTGCAAGTTTAAACATTAAAAATTAAAAATACATATAAAAGAATAATTTTATTCTCCTTTTAACATGTGTCATTCTATTAGACATCGTTATTAATGTATATGTTATTATTTTTTTGTCACGTGTCACCCTATTATGTCTTATAATCAATGCATCCTACTTGTTAACCTATTGACTCTTCATTTCAAATTTCAAAATTTAAATTTCTCACTCTAATTACATTAAATTAATAACATTAGAATAAAAATTAAAATAAAATTAATACAAATTATAGAGATAATTTCACATATTTATTTAAATCAATGATTATAATTATATATAATTAAAAAAAATCTCTTAATTAATAATTTATTTAAAATAATTTATTAATAATTTTGAGTTTTTATTATAAAAGTTCAATTAATTTTATAACTGTGGTTTCCATAGGTTATATATATATATATATATATATATATATATATATATATATATATATATATATATATATATATATATATATATATATATATATATATATATATATATATATATATATATATATATATATATATAGTCTTGTTAAAATTGTTAAAATAAGTTATATAACTTTTCGCACTGGATTTGAACCCATGGCATTTATATGAAAACACTTGTTAACTTCTTATAAGATGAATCAATTCCCTATCCATAAATGCCACCAACTTAAGTTAGAAACAAAACATGATGCTCAAATGTTAAAGAATGTTGAACTTGTTTGCATATACAGTAGCAGAAAATAAGCTTTGAAACACAATGTAATACAGCATGCTGAGGGGACAGAATACAGATGTAATGCACTAAAACTTGATGCTTAACTAAACCTAATTGAAGAACATAGCATCATACAGAGTACTTATAACATAAGATAGAATCTGACGACTCTTTCCAATTTGTGCTCAAGAATTGCTTCAAGAACTGATCTAGTTCGACACGCAAAAAGAAAGAAAGAAAGAATTATCTGCCTTGTGTGCAAAGAGGGGAGGTTAAATTCTGACTTTTTGTCAAAAGTGTTGACCGGTTCAAAGCATACAGTTTTATTAGGGGTAGTTTAGTCTTTTCACTTAGAGTATGAATAAGTAAATAGCCATGTGGGGCACTAGACATTTAGTAGGGAGTCTTTTTAGGATATGTTCATGTATGTGAATAGTACTTGGGTTGTTGGGAAATATAACACACAAATTTAGTTTCACTGTTACAACACTAACTTTATATACATAATTTAATTACATAATTTTAGGTTGAGGGCCCTCAAGCTCTAGTGTTGAAATTAGCCATGAGGAGACTTCATCCATCTCTTCTGGGATTATATAATGACCCAGCCTGCATCCACCATATATCAACAAACATACATAAAAAACTCAATAATAAATATAAAAGTAATGACAAAATGGTTATGTTACAGTTACACACGGTTTAAAATTCAGGGACTAAAACTGTGACAAATATACTTTTCAGGGATGGAATTGGTTAAAAATCAAATGACCACCAGGACAAAAAAAATGTAATTTAATTTATCCTGTTTTTTTAGTTTTTAGAAAGAGGAAGCTCCAAGTGATTGAAATTGAAAGAAAAGTTGAATGCATACGAGTGGAATGACTTAAAAGTCAAGTTTTCAAATCCAGCTGAAGTTAGTTTCTCTGCAGACTTCTCACCATAGCGAAACCAAACCACTTCATCACCTACCAAGATATCATCATACAATTTAAACTATTAATAGCAACGCACTTTCATATATGTCATTATTATAGCATCTTACTTTCATTTCTTTCTATTATGTCGTTGTAGTTACAATTTTTCTTTTTATCAAGTCATTGTACTTTGTAAAATCGACCCAATTATAGCATTGTACTTTCAATTTTTTTGTACTATTCATCAAATAATCAATGAATTGTCTAAAACTATATATATATATATATATATATATATATATATATATATATATATATATATATATATATATATATGTGGCTTGGTTATGGTTACCTCTGCCATGACAGAGCAAAATGGGTAAGGATGCAGCTGGGCCTTCAACCTCGTTACTTGGATGGCTTGCAAAGAAAGAAAAGATATTAGAATTTTTTTTTTTTTTTTGGTATGTTAAAAATGATAAAAACGAAAGATAAGTGGTTATGTTAATGTACTTTGCACATGGAAGCCAACCGCTAAGGCCGACAACTGCCGCCAGATGGGCGGAGTAACGGGTGCCATTTCCTAATTTTCCACGGGCAAAGCAGCTTGCAGAGTATATTGCAGTTGCTGCACCCATGCTAAACCCTCCTACACCAAGTTTGACTGCATAGTCAAAAAAAAATCAAATGAAAAAATAGAAATTTTACATGGTGACAGAGTACAAGGATTGACATGACATATGGCTAATGATTATGATGATAGAAGCAATCAAATATTGATCTGCATAGTGACCGATAATAGCACAAATGCTAACAACTTGGGAAAAAAACAATCATGGCCTCTTCGTTGTTAGCTAGATTTGGAATGAGTAGTATTTTTTTCATTAGTAACCTTTTAGTTTATTTAGTCTTAATGTCTTGAGGGTCCTCCTGTTACAAAACAACCTTTTTTATCCTTGAATGTTCTCTTTTTCTCCTTGCAAAAAATAAAGTTTCCCTTATTTGAAGGTATCAATCCCAGAGGGTGCCAAACTAAACTCTACTTACAGGTATATCAAACCCTTTCTACTCAAAAGTTGAGGCTAATCCATATATGTATACACGGTTATGGCTTACCATACTGTAATCAAGAAGAGAACACCATATGGTTTTGGGATCACTTAATCAAGAAGAATTTGAAAAATATATTAAGAGTTTTGAAGTCCTTTCAGTCCGAGGAGCAATCTTTGGGAACGTTCCTTTGAGGTCTTCAACATGATGTCGTGTTAGGCGATGGAACTTGGCATTGTCGTCACCAATATCACTATTTATGGTGATTGATCTATAGTCTGAAGAGCAAGTGATGACTAAGGTGTTGTTTGCTTTTTGTCTGCATGTCTTCTTGGCTTCTTGTGTTTGTGCCACGTATACATTAGACTTCGCAGGCTGTTTGTTTTTTTGAAGACTGCAGACCTAAAAAGGTCTGCGCGTCCTCTTCTTGGCATAGATGTGGACCAAAGTCTTCAAACCTCTTCAGACATTTCTAGTCTACAAAACTTAAAAGAGTTTTCTAATAAGTTTTAAAAAAATCGGTTTAATTAGATTTTAGTTTATTCTAACAGCTTGCAAATATTAAAAAACAAACAATATTATGCTTTGTGACTGCAAACATTTGGTCCACATCTTTTACTACAAAGATCTGTAGATATGATCCGCAGGCTACAAACATTTCGTTTCAGAAAAAAAAAAAAAAAAAAAAAAAAAAAAAAAAAAAAAAAACCAGCAACTAAGGGTACCCGTGGGCTCGGTTCAAATTACAATTGTAAAAAGGGATGGCCCACTTAGCCAATAAAGCCTACTACCCAACATTATCCAGAAATCCAACCTAGTTACATATCCAGCCAAAACCTAATTAAACCTTATGAATCGGTTGGTTACTGGTGTAGTATTTTCGAAACATGACATTTGATGGAGGCCGAGGGAAATAATAAAATTTGCGGCTAAAAATATTCACAAAACAAGTGCACGAAAAGAGTTCTTTAAATTTTACTCCTATCCGATGGAGAAGACTATCAAGACTATTGCCTCACAACCATAATCCAACTAATTAATTCATTAAATAGAATATTCTAGAGTTTTATCATGAGTCAAAGCTTGTTGTACATTCCATGTATATCCCGACTCTGTCTCAAGTAATTATGTTTCCCTCTCTATATGTTCTCCGTGTATTATTATTCAAGTGCAATCAATCAAAAACATTTATCAGTCTCAGAAAGCCAAAACAACTCAAATTTAGTAACGGACGATCCATCATTTTCTACCTTGCTTCATCTATGACTCCCTCGAGCACTCTCAGTCATCACCATCATCGCTTCTACACACTTTCCATTTAAACTCACCTCCCAAAATTTTCTAGTCTGGAGACGCCATGTGCAGTCCACACTCATTGGATTCGGGCTTAAAGACTTCATCATCAATGCCACCAAATCCCCTCCCTCAATCATTAGCGATAAAGACACCACCAAACCTAGCCCTGCCTATACTTCTTGGTTTCGAAAGGATCAAAACATCTATAATGCCATTCTCGGATCCTGCTCCGATGAAATACAACCGCTCATTGCATCGACTTCCACTGCAAAAGATGCTTGGTACCGATTAATCACTTCCTTTGAGAGCAAATCACGCTCTAGAATTATCTCCTTGAAAACCCATAAGACATAAAAGATATGTTTAGTTTGGTTACCAAACCCATCACAATACGTACGGTTACCAAACTCGTCACAATACATACGGTTCTTTCTCTTGCCTTATCTCGGGGTTGGTAATTATGTCAACTAGGCGTCAATAACGCTTTTTTACATGGTACCTTACAAGAGGAAGTCCACATGATCCAACCAATTGGTTACGTCAATCCATAATTCTTAAGTCATGTATGCAAGCTACAACTGTCTCTTTACGGCACTGCGGGCTTGGTACATTATTTTTTAATTGATTTGGGATTCAAAAAATCTCATGTGGATGCCTCACTCTTCATATACAATTGGGATGGTTTCATATGTTATTTTTTGGTTTATGTTTACGATATTCATTTGATTAGAAACAACATCGATTTCTTGAATAAGTTTGTCACCAATCTTGCATCTAGATTTTAAGTCAAAAATTTGAGATACCCCAACTACTTCCTAGGAGTCGAGCTCATAGCAACTATAAATCGTTTGTTTTTATCGCAACACCAAAACATACACAATCTGTTGGTTTTGCATCGCATGGATGGCGCCAAACCACTAACAACATTTTGCTCCTCCTAAGTTTTAACACTTAAAGATGGAACACCGAACATCATATCGTAAGCTTCTTGGTTCTATCAAATATATTGCCTTCATACGCCCAGACATTTCCTTCGTTGTAAACAAGCTCTCACAGTTCATGCCTCAACCGAACCAAGTACATTGGCAAGCTCTATAACACTTTCTTCGTTATTTGAAAGGAACGGTTTATCATGGCTTTTTTTCGCAAAAGAAATATGCTCTTGAGCTCACTAACTTTTTTATAACTTGGATTGGGGGCGTCTCCACTACGGCTTATTTCATCTATCTCGGTAGTAATATCATCATGTGGAAATATGCTAAACAAAAATCGGTTTCTCGGTCATCAACTAAAGCAGAGTATAAAGCTCATGCAATTATCGTTATTGAACTAGCATGTGTTGAAAATCTTCTCAAAGAACTTGCATTTCTATGGACACAACGCCTAAACTTTTTGTGACAATACTAGTTCGACTTACTTGTGTGCCAACCTAACTTATCACTCGCATATGAAACATGTTGACTTGGATGTAACATCCAGTTTTGGGATGTTTCTAATTTTGGGTAGGTGGACCGTAATTTGATCAAATAAAGGTTTCGTGCTTTAAAGGTATGGAGTTTAGATCCTATTAGATGTTAATAATGTTGGTTAATTGATTTAAACCCTTAAATTGTGCTTTGGAGCCAAAGGGTAAAATAGGAAAAGTGATATTTCGGACTTCTTGCATGAATTAATGAATTCAGTTCGGTATGCTTTAAGTCAAAAGATAGAATTATAGGGTTTGTCAATACTTTCGCATGTATATAAAGATCACTAAAAACGGAGTTGAAACGAAGACGTTATGACTGCTTAAAGTTGGAATAGAATTGGAAAAAACCTGTCACCACGACATGGTGAGGAGCTCACCACAGAGTGGTGAGCTGTGTAGCCCAAGCCCATTAAATTAGGGTTTGGTTCATATTTAAAGGTTTCGACCCCTTGTTTTAGGTCATTTTACAGCCTCTATTGATCAAGAACCCCTTATTCTATCAAACCCTAGACTCCCTTCATAAATCAATATCCTCCTCTTTCCTCTCATCCATATTCTTGAGTTTTTATAGCTTTTGGGTGTTTTGTTCTTCAAATACTTGGTTTTGAAGCTTTGGAACTAAAGAGATCAACATTCATCTACCTTCTGGACCTTTGTGAGCTGCAAAGATCCTTGCTTTTGTGTTTCATCATAGATCTATGAGTATTTGGTATTTTGATCCATTTTAATGAGTTTTGGTCCCTTTATGACTTGTTCCATGGATTTTGAAGAACTCCATAAGCTTTTATTCATGTTTAAAGTTCAGATCTAGTGACTTTGGTGGAGTACAGAGTGTATGCAAGAACTCTATTTATTATATGAATGAAGAAAATAGGTTTTTGGACATTTCATAGCTTAGGGTTTTAGATCATGGAAGTTTGTGGCATTATTATGGATAAAGTTGGAAACTTTATCCATCTAAACATCATGTGATTCAGATATAAAGGTTGGAGGCTTGAACTTAATGGATCAAGTCGAGGAAGATGTATTCTTAGACACTTTGAGACTTAAAGTTTGGATCTTGGTTGGTTGGATCATCCTAATGGATAAAGTTGAAAACGTATAAGGATTAAGCTTTTAATGAAGAAAAGTCTTTCTAACCAAAACCACAGCATGGCCAAGAAAGGCCCACGACGTGGTGGCGCGCTGTAAAGCGTCTAGATATGGCCACGATGCGGTTAAGAACTCGTATAGAACATCTATGAGTTCCCACGATGCGGTTAAGCACATTCAATGTACATCCAGGCTCTTTCTGATAGAACCTCCATCTTGCAGCCACAGGGAAGGGGGTATCAAGACTATGGCATCACAACCATAATCGAACTAATTAATTCATTAAATAGAATATTCTAGACTTTATCATTAGTCGATGCTTGTTATACATTCAATGTACATCTCGGCTCTGTAATTATGCTTCCGTCTCCATGTGTACTCCTTATATTATTGAATTGCAATCAATCAAACACGTTTATCATTATGAAGACATATATCAGTAGCCGCTAAACATGAAGTATGTTTGACTTTTGAGTGCTTGATCTCTCTATTGAGTCCATAACCATTTTAAAGATCATTAAAAATATCAGGTGGATTGTATAGAATCCCTATCTTGGTGATAGACAATTAGGTGGAAAAATCGTTGGGATATCACTTTGATATTTTTTATAAATCAGGTTCAAGCAGCGGATGCCTTTTCCATATTCCATATGGAAGATTATGATCCCTCATTTTGTTTCCACAACGGTTAAAGGTCCCGACTTCTCAATAAGTTCGATGGTAGTCCCACCTATAAAGGATCATTTGTGCTTTATTAACCGATCAACGATACTACCTTGGATCTCCTTACGACATGATAAATTATATTACAAATGACAACTTGTCATTCCAACATCATCTCTATGGATTCCATAACTTATGGAAGAATTTCACTCTAGTCCTACAAGTGGCCACTCAGGGTTTTATCAAACATATCTACAACTAGCATCTTGTCTTTACTAGGTTGGCATGACAAAATAGTAAAACAATGTCCATGCATGTGATACTTGTCAAATTTACAAATCCACTACTTTATATACGAGTAGACTACTCCAACCCCTGCCAATTTCGTCTGTTATCTATTTAGGAAGACATCTCCCATGATTACATCACCAGGAGGTTGCCCAATTTCAACGATTACAATTATGCCTTTATTTTAGTCGATCGGTTGTCTAAATATTGTAACTCCATCCATCTAAAACATTCACTTATTGTACGTTCATTGGTTAGAATCTTCTTAAAAGAGGTCAATTCTTTAAATGGTATCCTAAAATGGTGCTCAACGATCGTAACGCCTTATTCCTCAACCACTTTTGGAAGGAAATATTCTCCCTTCGAGGTAGAAAACTCCATTTAGTGTTTCTTATCATTAGGAAACCGACGATCAAATAAAGGTAATAACCCAATGTCTTTAAACATATTTTTGTTGTTTTTTTGTAGAACAACCAAGTCATGGTCCTTTTGGCCTCCATAGGATGAATTATGGCACAACACATAGGTCTACTAATAACATCCCTTTTGAAATTATCTATAGTTGAGCCCCATCCACTATTTTACAATGGGCGTGTTCGGCAAAGTTAACTGGTAGCAGGTAGCTTGTGCCTTGTAGCAGGTAGCGGTAGCTTGTAGCTTGTAGCGTTTTATTAAACGCTACATGAAGTAGCATTTGCATTTGGAGCGTTTTGTCAAACGGTAGAAGCTAGAAGCTCTCAAACGCTCCATGCCGAACACGCCAATATGTGTCGGGCTGAGACAAACCTGTTAGATAGAGACGGAACTTTAATACAAATTATGTATCATTTGGTGAAGCACATGCCAGAATGAAGAAATGTGTCGAAACACCTACAAGAGGTCAAATTTAATATCGGACATTCGTTATTTCTTAAATCAAGGCCACATTGACAAAAATTGGTGGTTTGTTGTATCCACCAGGAAACTATTAGGTTGTTTCCATGGCCCGTTTCTCACCATCAATAAAATTGGATCGGTTGCTTATAAGACTCAATTACCTGGTTCCACCTGAATTCAACGTGGTTTTCCATGTTTTGTTCCTAAAACGGGTTATGAGAAACCATCCTAGGGAACCCTCCTTACCTCCACTGGACTCGTACACCCCCCATGACTATAAAAATGCCAAGTAGTCCAAGAAGCTACAATAAAAGGACACAAGGTGCAGTAAGGTACTTTAGAGGATGCTAATTGGGAGGATTCATTTATTATTCATAGTCAATTTCACACCTTTAGGCTTAAGTACATGCCTACTTATTTAACAAAAACAACATTGATAGAGAATGTAACCAAAACCCAATGATTGAGGAGGTCAACAGTTTAGAAAGTCTACAAGAGGAGAAGGATCAAGAAAATCAAGAATGACACTTGTAAGGTGATAAGAGAGACAAATTGTTATGCAAGTGGTATGAGAATAATATTTAGTTAGTTGTAGAGAATAAGGTAGGCATCCTTCTTCATTGTTAGCTGGAATTGGATTTAGCAGTACCTTCTTGGGTGGAGAGAAACCATTTGGTTAGGGTTCTCTTGTAGAATCTTTTATTTTAATTCCACTTAAATCAATTACATTCTCCTTTTGTGTCAATCACGCGCGTTAATCTAGAAGCTTTGTTTTGGAATTGTAACACAAGACCTCAAAAAAACAATGAGAGTTTTTGAGCTCGTCCACCGGTTTCACCACTTGCATAGATTTTATCATAGAATCTTTTAATTTGTGTCTTATGTTGAAATGGTATCAATCTCCTTTCGAAGCACATGCAAATCATTCTTGAGGTGCATAGCTCAATCCAAGAAGTTGTGGTAATAGACAGCTACTAAGCCTATGTTTAGCTCGCTAGCTGAAAAGCTAGCTTTTAGCTTATAAGCTAACTTATTAATAAGCTATCTCAAGTATCTTATCAAAAAGCTAGTTTAATTACAAACTACGATAAGCTACTTTTGTGGGAACACCAAATTGCAAAGGTCCAAAAAAAATCAACCGGCATATGCGCGCTAGACATAGTCTAATGCAACAAAACATCACAATACGTAACGAGACCGAGGATCTCAGCTATCATTTCCTTAAAAAGCAAGGACCGAAAGATCACAAGAAGTTCACCATTGGCATGACAAAAGACAAAACAAATTTTGGTTCGGGTTGTCTTCCCATCTCCATCTAATGTCACCAAGGTTTTGATACGAGAGAAAAGGGACCACTTAACTTCGCCAAAGAAGGTAATAATTATCATAGGCTAACTTAGTAGTTATCATATAGATGAGTGTGGCAAATGAAAGAAAGTTTGCTTCATAGGTAGAGGTTGATGCCATGGCAATGAAACAAGGAGGCAGGAGGTTGATAGTTTACGGTTAGAGAAGGAACCCGTTTGATACCATAGTTAAGGAGATAATTGAGGATCATGTATGCGCATGACATGCTTATCGGATATGCTAACAAAAACAAATTAATGAAGGTAGACTGCTCATTTTTTGTAATCAACCCAAGAGAGAAATAGAAACTTACTATTTGGAGGCTCGGTGGAGAGCAAGCTCAAAACATGTGCTGCAGAAGCATCCATTCCCTCTACATCTTGATTTGCATCTTCAGAGATGTCAGTGACATCAAACCCTAACATCCATGGTTTTGGTAATAAGTTTTGTGTTAGAGAAAATACGACACCTACAGTTTCAGAATGTTGTAAAAACAAAGGTAGCTTCAAATTTTTTTTTTTTTTTTTTTTTGACCTTTGCAATTGCATACACTCTTACTTTCCAGCCTGTTACGATGTCACCATATTAGTAAATAATAAATAATAGTCCCTCTGTTTTTAGAATAAATACAACGTATATTTTTTCATTTTACTTAAAATCAAGTCAATCCATATAATTTTGTCATAATTACTAATGGCAAAAAAGTAGCTCTGGATTGAAAATTTGTAGAAAAAAAAAATTAAATAAAACGTTGGGTTGAATTTGGAATAAGTGAAGTACTGATTATTATTGAAGAACAATATAACGTTTGCAAAGCATAAAAAATAACATACATGCAGTTGTAGAAAGTCCTCCAAATAGAGTTAATGGCTGAACAGGAGAAGTAGGGCATATCCATTTGATCTGCATCATATATGTATTAAACCAAGTCATGATTTACAAGAACTTATGTTTATACATTTATAGCTCATTCATTCATTTTTCATTTTGTGGGTCCTACTTCAATTTCAAATAGTACCATATAAATGGGACCCACAGACTTAAAAGAAATAAACATGTGCTTACATTTGGAAGAGGAAGTGTCTCCAAGATCTGGGACCAACTGCAGGGAAAAAAAAAAGATGTAAAACAGAACAAACATTTTATTTTGTACAAGTTAACATCCCTAAGTGACCTATAAAATTAAGAACTAAAGATAATGTTACAACCAAAATATAGAAAGGATAATATTCAGATGATGAGATGTGTTACCTTAAACCATCATCACCAAGGCCATGCAACCAAACAATGGTAGCTTGGTGTTTGCCTTTAGGTTCCAATACATATGTAGGCCCAAACTTAAATGCCCTTCTTGCAGTTATACAACCTTCAAATTAAGGGAATATGATGAACAACAATAAATAAAACAGAGGGAAGAAAATAGGTTACGAAAAGACTAACCAGAAGAATCCAAAACAGGGTCAATTGAAGTCATGTTGAAAAGGACAGAGATGCAGCCAGTTACAGCAGCTACAGAGAAGAAAACCTGCGACGAAGAAATCCCACACGATGGCTTCATCTATATAAATAAAACCAGTATATGATATCTTCATCTGTAAGTAGATGTAAATCCAGTATATAATATCAGGAGCAAACAGTTCTGTGTTGTTTTTACCTTTTTTTCCTAATGAATCACAGTTTTCAATTGCCAAATCTCGTATCCTGGAACCCATTAGAATTGAAATTTCCATGGCGAAGCACGATACTACAACCCTGTTAGAGATATGATTTGACTCTTGTGAAGCGTGATCAAAACAATCGGTCCAAATTTTGTGTATCTATTTACACATAAATCCGAAACCAGGTACTACGTCAAAGTATACAGCGGAATTCGAATTTCAAAAAGACCTGGTTTTAATACCTCAAACCTATTAGGCACTATTAATCCAGTAAGTGAACAACTGTAAATACAAATATCGAAGAATACGACTATCGCAGAAATCGAGTATAAATCAGAATTGTATAAAAAAAAGCTGGAAGATTTTCAGAGGAGTAAGTACCTTAATTAAGATGATAGAATGGATAAATGAAGATAACTCTGCTTTTCACGCTTGCTGTGTAACTCCTCTTCTTCTACTGTGTGTGTATATCGGGATATCGACGTTGTTATGCAGGTTAGGGGAATTTCTGTTACAAAGGAGATGATTTTGGGAGATTTTGATTCTCAAGTAGCGGCGTCAAATTCTCCGTTAATAAGTATGTTAAGTAATGAAAGAGAAAGTATGTGTTTTAGAGAAGAATCGATTAGCTATGGACCAATGGAGTCGAGCGTTGAAGATGGAGGAATGGGCTGAATATCGACATGCAGTACGCTAGGATTCGTTTTGAAATGGTGTGCGCAAAGATGAACCTAGTGGTTTACCACATGCCTCGCCCATGTGTCATCTGATTTTTCTTTTTTGTCTCTTACGCATGATGTTGTATTGTTTATATACTTAACACCTTTATCTACTCTATCTTATTAATAATCATTTACTGCCACGTGGCATCTTCTCACCTCAACATTTTACAAAGTGAAAGCACCCGATTTGTAATCTCGCCATGTTCATTTTTTTTCATTCAAATTTCGAATCAATTCCCAATCATTCTCAGCATTATCAAACGACTCCATCCCCATCTTTCTAAAAATCTAGCATTCTGCAAATGACGTCAATCTCGCACTGATTTTTTGATTATTCCATAAAGCATTCCCCTTCGTTTCCCACACAAGCCCTTAAGTTTTTGCACCAACTCATTCTTTGTTCTTCGTCTCTGTGTCTTTCATCTGTTAATTTCTTCGCTCCAAGTAAGTAACTTAGGGTCCTCTAATATCGGTTAATTAATCTTGATGCAGAGATCGTGATGATGGTGTTTGTCTTGGTCGACTTTGGATCAGGGGAATTTGTGATTGGTTTTTATGAAATGGGATCTTAAGGAAGTGAGCGATGTTGTTGCTAAGTATAAGGTTAATGAAATTAAAATCTATCACTTCAGACCATCATGTTTCATATCAGTTTTGTTAAATCAATTGTAACCATCGCTTTAATTTCCAGGTTGTAGCACCTGCACGTGTTGGTCTCGCACCAATCGTATGGCTTAATTGTTCATTTTGTTTATGAAAATGGATCATTATTTAGTCCAAAAGTTCTTTATTTCATAGAGTCAAAAACGTTATTGCCGTAATAAACTCTTTGGGTATTGATTGGTATTATATAACAATACAACTAAGAGATAAGATAGATCAACAAACCTGATCCTATCTTTACAATAAAATACATTCAAAATAATCTAACACTTATCTATACGTTTAGATTCCCCCTCAATCTTAACCATTACTAGGTTGAGATTGTGTTTTAAATGTTCCAACATGCTCTTAGTTGCTTGGCTTAGTTAAACCATCGGCTAGTTGATCTTTAGACGATATGAATCAAACATCAAGTGCACCCATTGCCACATTTTCTCTAACAAAATGAAAATCGACTTCTATATGCTTTGTACGAGCATGAAACACAGGATTTGCTGTCAAATATGTTGCACCTAGATTATTGCAGCACATAATAGGAGGTCTTGGTTATCTGACTCCTAATTCTCTAAGTAAGCTCTGCAGCCATATTGCTTATGTTGTGCCATTTGCAAGTGCCTTGTATTCAGCCTCTGTACTAGATCTTGACACATTCAATTGTTTACGAGAGTTCCAAGAAATCAGATTATGCCCTAGAAATATTGCATAGCCACCTGTGGATCGACAAAAGTCCAAACACCCTGCCCAATCTGCATCTATAAAGATACTTAAGAGTGTTTAATTAAAATGTCTAAATCTAAGTCCCATGGTTAATGTGCCCTTTTACATATCTTAGAATTCTTTTGATTGCCTCCCAATGAATGTCTGTTGGTTTCGAAAGATATTGGCACACTTTGTTGACAGCAAATGAAATATTAGGTCGTGTCAACGTAAGATATTGAAGACCTCCAACCATACTCTTATATTTTAATGCGTCTTCATCATTGAGTGGTTTTCCATGGACTTGAGAAAGTTTTTCTATCACTGACATTAGGGTTGAAATGCTTTTACAATTCTCCATATGAACACGATGTAATAGATCAGTAGCATATTTGTGTTGCGATAGTGTTATTCTCCCTAAATTGTGAAGTACTTCAATCCCAAGAAATTAACACAGTTGACCAAGATCTTTAATTGGAAAAGAAGTGGATAAGGCATGAACCAGCTTGGTAATCGCTGGAGAAGAGGACCCAGTGATGACAATATCATTAACATACACAAGCATGTATATAATGACGTCATTATGATGAAAAACAAATAAAGAAGAATCAGCTTTAGAAGG